ACTTGGGTTATACATGGGGCCATATTTTCCTTGTGGAAAGATACAACTTGTAATTAACTATGAAAAAAAAAATTAAGTGAGATTTATATTTAATATTATTTATAATATTAATATAAACCTGCTTTTTTCTTTTTCGTTCATATTCTGCGCTGACGCACAAGGATGCGACAAATGAACAATCAGTGACAATGTCCTATTCGGGTTAAAGTCGATATATTAATTAAAATTTTAAATAATTATGACTCAATCTCTAAATAGAGTCAAGAGTCAATGAGACTAATTGTAAAGCAGTTTGTTACCTGTTTAATAGTAGAACTTGAAATCCTAACAATCATTTTCGGGTTTTCCATAATTTGATGTGGTCGCCTCCATGCTCCAAAGTTCTCTTTCTGTTTAATTGATAATGATAATGGACCATCCAGATCTCTACAATATTGATTAGTAATATATATATTTTAACAATCATAATTCTAGCGCGTAATCCTTAATAACACAGAACTAGATCATACACAAATGGTTTTTCATATTTAAATTCTTCATTTAAATCAGTTTCCAGCCATGGCAGAAAACGTCTTTCATTAATGAAGGATGTATGTTTAAGTATATCAATCTCTTTTTGCGTAAGTTTACACGAAGAAGTGATTTTCGTCCCATGATTTGCCGATTGTACAGCTAATAAATTAACTTAGTGAAGTATTACATAGTACAATGATCAACACTGTATATCTAGTAGTATACCTAATAACGTCCTCCTTGTTGGCAACCCTTTCAATTCTTCAGCCCTATCAAACAATTGCTTTACTTCGGTAGTTAATTGTTTATTGCGTGATGCGTCCTTGGTTTCTGAGTGTTAAATAAAGTAATTGTAGAAAGGTTGACACGGAAACCAATTTTTATAGTGTTTTAAAAAAACCTTTGATAGCCTCTATGAAAATTTCTGCAGCTTTTGTATATAAAGTCAAAGCCTCTATGTAATTTTTTTGTTCATCTTGTAATTTAGCTTGATTTTGAATTGTCTTGATTAAAAAAAATGAACATGAGTATAAGAGAATGAATCTTGATACAATGCATGTTAAGTATTTATAAGGTAAAACCTGTGCTTGTTTTAGAAGGCTGTCTAATGTCGATTCGCCGCCTAGTTGCTCAATACGCATCCTATACTCATGGCATTTTGTCAATATCTTATTTCTCTTGACTTGATCAGGTTCAACTATTTTACAGGCAAGTTGGAGTAATTAGTGTCGGTTTAAAATGAACATACTGTATAAGAAAGAAAAATACGGTGATAAGAACTAACTTTGAACTATAGACCCAAATATCTAGTCAAATTATCCGAAATATCCATTGTAAAATCATGATTTAGGAATATTTTAAACACAAACAACGTCTTAATTATATCCTTACATTAACTACTTCTAAGTAATGCCTCTTAGCTTTTTCTTTATTTCCGTTTCTATCTTCATTGACGGCCTGGTTAGCAGTATCAAAGGCTCGCTCATACAGTTTTGGAAGTTCATTTGTTAAATTTTTCCGCTGGTTATTCATTGAATAAGTGTTGAGTTAATATTTGACAACGATAAAAAGGCAAAGACAGAAATAACATAAATTTCTGAATACAGATGCAGATTTATTCAAGTTTTGATTGGTCTCTATAAATAAAACGAAATTTTAAGGAGCCAATCAAATTTCATAAAAATTGACATTTTGATTGGTTAAAGAAATATTTTTTTGCAATACTGTATTTGCAGTATTGGGGAATACAA